ATACACCATGGACCATGCATACACATATAATTACAAATGTGAAAATATTGTCCCTTTTATTGATTATAGGTATTTATAATCATGAAAATTAGTGAAAAATATCGAGACATATCTACCTTAAAATCAGATTGGCTTACAAGTACCCTAAGCTATTTTCACATTTTTATTGCAAGAAAATATTTTTGCAAGGGTTACAAAGGTTGAAATATTGTGCTGGCTCTATTTGGCTGGAGTTTAATATTCAGACCTAGCTATGTGTGAATTGATTATCAATCACATTGTACATTATAATGAACATAATAAATAAAACCATGAATGTTGTTCATTAATCAAACTGGAAACACAATCTTCATCAACATCAATTATGGTTGGAAAGGCAGTACTTATTTATAAGACATAACGGATCTAGTGCACCCTCCATTATGATCTCCCCATGAAAAAAATAAATTCATCTGATTTTTCAAAATAAATATTTTATTATTACATTTATATGTACAATAGTATCTTGTTAACCTATATTCAGCACTGTATTGATGAATGGGCCACTTATTAGGGCCAATATTCAATCATAAAGTGTACCGGGGTAGAGATGCCAAACCAAGAAGTCTTTTTGTGTCTGTCAAAATCCATTTGCATCCTACACATCCCAACACATTATCCAAATATGTTATTAATTAATGAGACATAACAGTATAATCTTTGGATTTGTACGGGATTTCATTAGTGTAAAAGTTGCTTTTGAAGCATTTTTCTATAGCCATTTTGTAGGAAAAAAATGATAGAAAAATTGTATAATCTTTTAATTTGAAGTATGACCTGAATCGATTGCAAACTTTATATTTGCACATCTGATGTGATATACCATTTGTGTCATACTGTGAAATTATTTAATTTGCAATCGATTCAGGTCATAGTGTATTTTAGGTATTTTTGTGAAAATCAATAGAAACCAATGGCCTCTATTGGAATTGATGATATCCACATGTTAAGTCAATGGAGCCCATTCAATGGCAAGTCAATACACCCTTGCTGAACTAAATGACCTCAGCCTCAGCCCATGTGGGTCCAAACGCTCAAATATTTTCCACAGTATTATGTGACATTGTATTCTTTATGTTACACCTAAAAATGATTCATTTTGTTCATGGGGATATCATAATGGAAAGTCGATAGACCCTATTGTAATTGTATGATATCGTATTTGTGATTTGAATATACACTGTGATATTTGAGAAAAAGAATGTTTTGTTTTAGTTTCCTTGCAATTTATAACCCTAATATCTTAAGCCAGAATCCTTCCTTGTCTTCCCATTTTTTAATAACCTCAGAAGTTCCTACTTTTTCAAACAAATACAATTTTCCATGATCATTTTTATGTCACCACCACAAGTGGTGACATATTGTTATGGTCTCAAACTTTTTTGTGGACGGTGTTCAGTGGTTGGCGTTATCATTTGGCAGTTGGTGTTTGGCAGTTGGTGTCTGTAACAAATGGCAGGTGTTAACATTTTGCATGTGAAAGCTTGTCTTATAATGTAGCCAACTGCAATGGATGTAAAACGGATATAGTTAACTAACACATTTCTTTGCATAAATTCAAATCATATGCTAATTTTAAATGAAAATGCTTTTTTCATGTTTTACCACTCATAAATGCCATAATATCTCGATGCCACATTCAGGAAAATATGGCTATCAACAAGTTTTGAATTCTTACAATTCTGGAAGTTGTACATGTAAGCATACACATCTGTCAGTTCAGTTTATGTGTAAAAGTTAATCCCCTAAGCCTTAATACCTGATGCATGAAATATTATGGATGAGTTACATAATATGTACTCGTGCTATTTAGGTAAATGTTGTGCTGTTTCACCAGATTTGACTGACATCTTTAAATAACAACAATTTGATTTGATGATCAGACAGCAACAAAACATATTAAGTGGCCAAGACAAAAGAATGTTATTATGATAGGCATTCTAGGGATTAAGGAATGCATTCAGCTTACATAATTTGAGAAATTATTGGCATACGTAAAACCTATTTAAAACAGCATTTATCGTATTCAAAAGCGTTGAGCATCATTGATTCCCAGCCCTCTGAAGATTGAAAAATAAAGATACCTGGGTGTTAATCCATGGATTATCTTTGAAAATGAGAAATATATTTTTGGATTACATGGTGTAATATTAAAGTATACAGAATGTTTTAAAGTGTATTGATGTTTTTTGGATGAAAAACATAAGCAAAATTCATGAAAAAAATCCCCCGATTCATTCTACAAACAACTTGCCCACCTTTACGTGCAAAATGGCAATCTCCGTGTTACACGTTAAATGGGGTTATCGTCTCCACTGATTAGGTTACAGAGCGTTACATTTTCTTTTCAGAAAGTACTGTATAATCCCAAAAGTTTGCTTATGAAATAGACTGCTAGAGATGGCTCATTTGCACATATTGCACCATTATGTTTTACATGAATCAAAAATGACCAAGCACATGTGCCTCGTGCATTCGATGCACATTTTGGAAGGTGTCATGTTCGCGATTTGCAATTGAGTTATTGACAAATTAGCATATTGGTAACCATAGTAACTATTAAACTGTCACATCTCGTCCCTTGCATTTGCCAAAAACACTAAAAATAATCCTGGAACTTTTAGCCTTAAAAAAATACACTCCCCTCCATAAGTTTGGCAACCTTTTTCCCCCCATTGAACTACGTGTTAAAGCCTCTTTACGTTTGAATTTTTATTTACTTAACCTACGATGAAATAACTTATGATATTGATGGAAACGTAACTTGACTTTATTTCCAATACCTCCAAATTTTCTCAATTATTTTCCTCAATTACAATAGGTCGAAAATTGATGATAAATTTGATGAATTTTTGAAAATTGTCATTCCCATGTAATCCAATGGGAAATGGAGGGTTCGGGGCAATTCAGAAATCAGGATATCTTTTCAGTAAAATATTCAGCAAAAAATATTTTTATATAGAAAATTGAATTGTCTAACTTTTTTGAACACTAAGTGTTTAGTTTATTTGATGAATATTAAAGTTACAGCGCTTCAAAGTCATTTTTGAAAATAATTTTTCGCCTCCTGTGTTATTTCAATGGGAGAGGTTTTTTGAAAAACAATTTTGACTTAGCCCAATAACTTTGTTGAACCTGAAGAAAAATATCAATTTTTTGTTAAATAAAGTTAGCAAATTCAATTGCCTGCCTAACCCGTATCTTTTGCAAGGACTCGGATGGATGGATATTCTGTCATAGGACTTGCGGCAAACCTACCATTTCCCATTGGTAAACATGGCAATGTCGATTTTCAAAAATTCGTCAAATTTATCATTAATTTTCGACCTATTGTGATTGAGGAAAAAAATTGAGAAAATTTGGAAGTATTGAAATTAAAGTCAAATTACGTTTCCATCAATAGTATAAGTATTTTCATCGCAGGTAAAGTAAATAAAAATTCAAAGGTAAAGAGGCTTTTACACGTAGTTCAATGGGAGAAAAAGGTTGCCAAACTTATGGACGGGAATGTATGTAATTAGATGATTTTTGTTACTCGAAATGAAATTAGGGGATCTTAACGCATTTGCGCACTTGTACATTACATGCCTATTCAGCAGTTAAGAAATAAATCCCTGTTTTTATCGCGATATTTCTATGTATTTAACCTACATGGTCTGTAGTTAAAACACAATATACCCACTTCTTAGGTTCATAAATGATTTACTCCCGACCTAAATCAGCTTAAAAACAGTTATACGAGGGGTGATCAATAAATAATAGACGCTTTTTTACATGAATGCTTTTTATAGACCAATACCTTCGATTTTTCTCACCAGTGATACATCATTCAATTATCTATCAACTCCGAAGATTTGAAAACAAAACATGTAATATATTTTGATATATCTTTATTTCCGTGAGGGAGGTATAGGTACCCCGGGACTGACATTACGTTAAACATTCTGAAGCTGTTTTAGCTTCTTTAAAATGCAACTCAGTTGAATGCAGGCTGAACAAAACAAATCATTATGGTCATGAATTACCCCATTTTGTTATGCCATAGTTGATTTCGTATATTTTATCATCACTATGTGGTTTTCATGCCACATTCATTCTACAGGGCCCTCTACATAGGTTCCATCAAGTGCTACATGTACACAATTCCTAATCCTCTTAACTTAAGATTGTGAGACAAGGCTGAATCCATTCTCTGACATGGTAGCAAGATGCAGTTGGACGGGTTGTTTTATTTCATCAATGTCAATAAACCTGCGTCCCTTCTCTATAGAAATAAGTAGTATAGGAATAAATAAGTCACATGTGGGCAGATGTGGACAATATGATGCATTGGCCAAGGGCTCGATTTTGAGGTCCAAGGATATTGTTTTCTGAACATTTTGAGACCTGTGGGCAGGTGCATTGTCCATATGGAGTAGGGTATTCCCTTCTCTCACCAACCCATTCTTCCACAATGCTTAATCAAATTGACCTGCAAACCCCGACCATACAACACTCTGACATCACAATACTTACTGTTTATGTGTTACCAGTCAGAAAAATATTTCAAACAACACAACACTTGTTGCATATAAAAAAAGTTTAAATCTAACTGAAATTTGCCAAACTGGCTAAAACTGAATATGTGACGTATATGTCGGTCCCGGGGTACCTGTACCTCCATCAGGGAAATAAGGATATATCAACATGTATTTTATATTTTGTCTTCAAATCTTCAGAATTGATAGATAATTGAATGATGTATCACTGGTAGGAAACTCAAAGGGATTGGTCCATAAAAAGTATCTGTGTAAAAAAGCGTCCATTACTTATTGATCACACCTCGTATACAAAATAACTGATGCTTGTATATATTTTTATACATTTTGATTGTAAAAACAAACAGAGTGAAACGAAACGACGGGCATACTTAACTTTAGAGAACAAATAAGTTCGTATCATCGTCATTTTATAGAAGAATTAATAATCACGAGATAGATCAGTGACAAGGGAGTTAAAATCCATCTTTGTGAATATCTAAAAGTATGAAGTGGATATTGTGTCTAGGTATCGCTGTCGTCTTCTCTGTAGCTTTTGCTGGTGAGTTTGTTTAGATTATGCTAAGACCTAGCGTTGAGTAATGCGCAAAATGCTGAAATAAATTTTTATTATTAAGGGCAAAACATTACATGCCTTTTCTAGTGAATCGCTGCTCTAGTACAAGAAATTACATACATTTATGTTTTAATTAGAATAACATTTATGGCGCATTCTTGAATAGAACTTTCTATCATGTAAGTGAGATTTGCCCTTGTTGTACATTTCTCTATATGTGAAATTTGAGCTAATCAAGTAGCATGTCACATGAGAGGCTTTCACGCAATGTAAGAAGTAGTAACATTTCAATAATACAGTTTCGAATTTAAAAACCACCAGACTATATAATAAAGCCCTCTCCCCCAATGGATAGATCTAATGTTCTTAGAGGGGGTGCAATTGGGTGTTGAATCAACCAATGTTACCCGGATGTTAATAAGATATCGGATGCTACGGTATCATTTAATCATTACAGAAGCATTATTTCAGTCATCTAAACAACGTTACAATCCATGTATCAAACCACGCACGTAAAAATAATGAATGTGTTTAGTGCATCATAAAGACCATAGTAGCATACTTAGTCCATATAAATACAGAGTCATATTGACGCACATTCATTTTTTCGCTTTTGTGATGGTATACCCTGTATCACTTTTAAGATATAATTTATCCTGAATATCGTTTTAAATAGCCATATGCACGTAACGTTGAATTTAATGGCATCACGCCTCGCGTGAGTGATATTATTACTGTGATATTTTTATTAATCGTCGTCTGCTATACGTAAAAATTTCACACTTATGGACGCAATAAAAGACGTGCACGTGAGCGTGAAGAATTATAACGTATATAATGTACTGTTTATTTGGCTGATCGAGTATAATTTAAAGATGTACGGAAAATAATTTAGGCCCCTGGAAAAGTGGATTGAGAGCGGCATAGTAATCCCCGCGGGTTTTAAGAAAACTTGTACGCTCGCGTACATGTTTTTTTTAAAATGTCCAACAGGTCACTACGTCAAGAATTTAACTAGGCTGACTGACCAGCAGCTGGACCAACTGGGTCAGGTTGCGTTAACTTCTACTTTTATATTCGAGACGATTCGATTTTTGTTGCCATATTGAATTTACTCACGTTGTAAAATACATTAGTTTAAGCGTCGGGTAGTTTTTATTTGGTATTCAAATTATATTAACACGTTTTTTAAATTATCAATGCATCAAGTTCAGACAAAATATCGTATTTTCTGATCATGAACATGGGTGTATCTTTTGGATCCAATCATTATCTTCAAGAAAAGTACATGTAATGATAATTTAGTTAATCAGACCAAAGTGATGTTAAAGTGGCAATGGACCAATCAACATACTTTTTCAAAAATGTTGACCTAATTTTCACCAAAATTGCAACCTTTTATTATATTGTTGAATGAATAATTAGAATGTGCTTTGAGACATGTTCGATTTCCTAAAAGGAAAAGTTGATTGCTCCAGGGACTTTAAAGATACTGAATTTGGATGGCTAAAATGAACTGAAACTAATGGATAGCACGGGATTTTTCAATGGAGAATGGAGAAATAACATGGGGAACACTTATCTTAAAGCAATTAAGTTTTTCTTTCAAGAACTTTTTGAAACATCAAAATAAAGAAAAGTAATACACTAAACATTGTAAGAAATGATTGCATTTTTGGTGAAAATGGGGTCAACATCTTTGAAAAAGTGTATTGATGGGTTGATTGCTAGTTAAATATCTCCGAGATTGTTTGACTTTATTATTACTGTGCATAATTTTTTTGAGATAATGATTTGATCTAAAAGAGAAACTTGTCCTCATTGTCAGAAAATAGTCATGATCCAAGATATAACCTTCTGAAATTGTTTGCGATAGCCCACGTGCTCCTTTGATTATATTCAGCATCAAAAATGGTTGTTTATACAAATTTCATATTATAACAAAAAATGTAAAATGAAAAAAAGAAATGTCCTTGACATAAAAGTGAAAAAATATGTCATCTCATTTTTAAAAATCACTTTGTTTGACTTAACAAGCGTAGAAAAACATATCCTTTCAAATTAAACAGACTCATTTTCTTTGATCAAGAACAATGCGACCCAATCCTATTTCATGAAAATAAGGACGAGCATTGAATTCATCTATTGATTCTGAATGATGTATTTCAAATCAAATAAGTATATGTATTTAGGTTATTGTAACACAAACACAAAGAAAATATAAACAGAATTGTAAATAGGGTGATTGTCCAGTTTCAACTGTATATACAGGGTATATGAATAAAATCGTCAACATAAACTTTTTCCATTGATTTAGAGATGCTCCAGGGCACATTGTCTGTGTTACCATAACAGCCACAGTTCATGTTAGAATGTTACTGTGATCACCCTTATGTTATAAAGCATATACAGATAGAACAATACATTTTAGATAAATATGTATAAGAAAATTCAAAGCGACATTTTATGAGTATTGTATTAGTAGTATTTTTGATTTACCCTCCTAATGTTTTATCGTATAAACTAATACATATAAAATATTACTTATTATTATTTCACTGTCATATTCCTCACTCTCCACTGTGCAAAATGTGCGGTATCTCTCGTTTTATTTCAAGAGATTTGGACAAATAGTTTGTATATATCTCTAGAATCCCCCAAAATATAGTTAGATATCGGACATGAAGAACAAGAGATACGCTGCCTATTCTGTGCTAAAAACAGCAGATATCAGCTTATATCAGGAGATACTCTCCTATCAGACTTCCCAAAACAGGAGATACGGTAACTATACGAAATGACGTCATCAAGTCTCATTATTTGCAACGCTAATTAGGTAACATCACTTATCTGGCTTATTAACAATTACTCCGGTAGTTAAGTCATTAAATAAACAAATAGGGAGAATCTGAATCATATTCTTTATCTCTTGTTTATCAATAAAGTTTAATGTTAATAAAATAAAGAACTGTAATTTAAGCACCTAGGTTTAAGTAACGTACAGCATTCTTCGGTACATACTGTACTGTTAATAATAATTTATTATTCAATGATTAATCCGTATGTTAGGGTTAATAGATAATCTCTACAGCTGATGACTCTTAATTCCACAAAAATAATTTGCAAAATAAGTTTTTTCATATATATTTGATTGTATGAGGTCCCTCATGTTATATTTAACATTGTGTTAAATTTTTGATTCAATCAATTAAATCATTGTAAAGATTATAATTTTTGAATTTTTAATCAATTGGTTTTCCTCACATTTTTATTCCATTGTTTCTCTGTCACATTAAGTTTATAACAAACATCATTTAAATCCCTCACTAACACAGGTACAAACAACCATTCATTTTGCCAACCAAAACATCAGTCATGACACAGAATTGCTAAATATTCAATAAACACATTGTGCATTTTATACAGACCCGTTCCTAAGGACCCCCCTCCCCGTGGCCAACAATTCTTTCAAAATCATGTAGTTTTCACCATTCACATACATGTATTGACATTCCAGAGCAATATAATAAGTCAAACTTTAATCCCTAATTATTCAATTTCTATGATTTGAGTTTTGTTCACAGTGATAGATAATCTGTTTGTTAGAGTTAATGGATTAATTTCTATAGCCGATGGCTCTAATTTCAACCGAAAAATAATTTGCAAATTACGTTTTTTTTATAATTTTTTGATTGTATAATGTCCCTTATGTTATGATTAACATGGTGTTAAAATTTGGATTTAATTGATTGACTCAACAAAAAGTTAATTTTTAATGTCAATGGGTTTCCTCACATTTTACTCCATTGGGTTTCCTGATTTCCTCACAATTTAACTCAATTGTTTCTCTGTCAAAATCCTACATAGTTTTACCTATCTGGGCACAGTGATTTTGGGCCAAAATTATCGATTGTGAGCCGTTGGTATGTTTTGAAAATTGATCCTCTGGGCTAAAACTTATTATGAGCCTGTAATATATTGGATGTATTGCTCCGATTTCTTCTGACAAATCTCTGATAATAAATTAAGAAACATGCATTAAGTTTGCATGATACAAGTGGTGTTAAGCTATGCTTAAACAAAATTAAAACTTGAATTCTCTCACATGTTACAATTTATTCTTTCTGTTATCAATATAATATCTGAGATATAAACCAGGGATATAAACAACAGATTAGTCCATGATATAATACATTTGTTTCTACTACAATTGGACCATTTCTTTTTATTACAGCTAGTTTTATTAACCTTTCTTTGTTTTCCATTTCCAAATATAGTATATATTCAAAAGGTGCGAGATTCGGTATGTTAAGTTGTTTGATAATGAAAATAAAGAAGCGGGTACATTTTACATTAATTCCTAATGTTTCATCTGACAAAGCGATGATTACACTTTGAGCAAATTGGAGCATGGTAGAACAAACTGATTTAAATAACATATTAACATACAGTACATGTGTGTCAGAGCAATATGATAAGTAAAACTTTAATCCCCAATTATTCAATTTCTTTAATATGAGTTTCGTTAACACTGATCACTAATCCATTTGTTAGTGGTAATGGATTAATTTCCTACAGCCAACAGTTCTAAGTTCCACAAAAATAATTTGAAAACTAAGTTTTTCATAATTATTTGATTGCATAATGTCCCCAATGTTATGATTAAAATTGTGTTAAAATTTGGATTTAATTGATTGACTCAACGGAAAGCTAATTTTTAGACATTTTTACTCCATTGTTTCTCTGCCACATTAGGTTTATAACAAACAACATTTAAGGCCCCCCTCTTACACAGGCACAAACAACCACCTGTATTCACTTTGCAAACCACAAAAATAGTCTTGACACAGAACTGCTCAAATGTTAGCTATATACATTACGCATTTTAAACAGGCCCGTACCTAACAAGTAACGATTCCCTCCCCTTGGCAAACAATTCTTTCAAAATCATGCAGACTTTCACCATTCACATACATGTATTGATGTCAGAGCAATAGAAGTAATACTTTAATCCCTAAGTTATTTTCAATTTCTATGAAATGAGTTTTGTTCACTGATAACTAATCCGTTTGTTAGAGTTAATGGATTAATATCTAGAGCCGTTTGTTCTAATTTCAACAAAAAGTAATAATTTGGAAATTAAGTCTTTCATATTTATTTGCTTGTATATTGTTCCTCATTCTATGATTAACAATGTGTTAACATTTGGATTGAATCGATTAACTTGGAAAGTTAATTTTTTGATTTTTAATTGATGACTTTTCTTAACTTTCTTTAACTTTAACTTTAAATATAACTAAATAATGTATATAAAGTGAATTTATCAGTTTTATTTTATTTGTTTAATTACTTAACTCTGACAGTGCATTGCCAATCATTAATAAGCCAGATAAGTTAAAGAAATAAGAAACGATGACGTCATTTCGTATAGTTAGCGTATCTCCTGTTTTTAGAGCTCTGATTTAATAGTATATCCTGAAATAGGCCAGAAGAAGCTGTTTTCCATAGAATCGGCGGGTATGTCTGGTTCTATTGGTCCAATAGAGTGGTAGGCAAACTATTTGTTAGCCTACATATATAACACAGCCTATATTAGCTCATATTTCGTAGAGTTGAAAATAGTACTAACTATACTAGTTGTCCGCCAAATCTCTTGGTATAGGTTGTGTCTCTACAACACGGGAGATACGGGAGATATTTCACACTATGACAGTTGATATTAGAGCATAGTTAACAGGAGATTTTATTACTATATAGCCTTTTTGGCACAGTGCTCTGATTGGTTAATGTCCAACACGTGACTAAAAATAACAAGCGATATCAAATGATGTTCACCAGTCACGAGTTAGTCCCGTGTAATTTCAATTTTATATCACCCCGGAGGTACATTTGTTATCATTAATTAGACATCGAAAGTTTGTCTTCCCACTAATGTGAGTAAGGAATATAACAGTGAATAATAAAACAAATATTCAATTCTATTTTCAGTGAACACCTCAGGAGCGTAGCCAGCTTTCAGTCAAGGGGGGGGGGGGGGGGGTGCGATCGCCACAAACTTTTCGGTTTTCAGTCAGGGGGGGGGGGGGGTGCGACTTTGGCATAATCAACCCCAAAAAATAAGATTTGTTTTGAATTTTACAAAAATTGATGCAACTTCCTTCAAAATTGAGCTAGAAGTTTCAAATAAAAAGCATTTTAAAGCTCTTTTATTCCTCTATCCAATATCCAATATTTTCATAGGTTATGGGGGGGGGGTATCGATCGCACCCATCGCACCCCCACTGGCTACGCCCATGTCACCTGTGACACTTTCACCAGATGATTTCCACTAGCCCTTCGGGCTTCGTGAAAGATCACTTGTGAAAGATACACAGGTATTCACCTCAATAGAATTAAGTATTTGTAAAATATTTCTAAATCATATGAAATGAAGGACTAATACTAACTAAAGTCATGCGGAACCCATATACTAACTGATTGATATTTCAGAACCAAACTAAATGTATTGTGTCCTTTGAAGGAATACAAACTAAAGTCATACGGATCCCATATACTAACTGATTGATATTTCAGAACCAGACTAATGTATTGTGTCCTTTGGAGGAATACTAACTAAAGTCATACGGATCCCATATACTAACTGATTGATATTTCAGAACCAGACTAATGTATTGTAGCTTTGGAGGAATACAAACTAAAGTCATACGGAACCCATATACTAACTGATTGATATTTCAGAACCAGACTAATGTATTGTAGCTTTGGAGGAATACAAACTAAAGTCATACGGAACCAATATACTAACTGATTGATATTTCAGAACCAGACTCAATGTATTGTAGCTTTGTATGAATTCTAAATTGAAACTATTAAATCATCCTTTAATTCGTGGAAAACTCTTGTTTTTTAATGTTGCCAAAGTTGCACTTTCAAAATGTCTTTTATCTCTCTTTCCAGAGGTCGGGGTAACAATAAAAGACCATTCGTGCAAAGAGGACTGGTGGGGCGACAAGGATTACTTCTATCTGAACTGCTCAGAGGGTGAAACGATAGTAGTGAAGGATGCCGTATTGTATCCATTTGAGCAAAATCTCACATGTGTTATGAATAATTCTAAAAATGAATGTCGTCACAACTTTACCCAGAAGGCATTGGACTATTGCAGCAACATGGAGGTAAGTAAGCTTTCATTCCTCTCAGTCAGAATTATTTCCCTGATTCCCTTTTCCAAACAATTTGTAACTTTTATTCCGACATTTGACTCTATTTTTCTGCATTTCAAGACATATTTAGCATTTAATTACCAGAGTAATACATTTTTAGAAATGAATGAATTATCCATTGAACTCTTTACTTTCTGAACAATATGCCTTACTTTGAGAGTGAATTCATGCGTACTTACGGAACTTATTCTTTTCAGACCTGTCGTCTGCGTTTGGAAATCTATGCCATATGTGAAATCATGCATACTTATTCCTTTTCAGACTTGGCATCTACGTTTGGACAACTATGCCTTATGTGAAATCATGCGTACTCATTTTTTCAGACCTGTCATCTGCGTTTGGACAACTACGCCATATGTGAAATCATGCGTAGTTATTCTTTTTCAGACCTGTCGTCTGCGTTTGGACAACTATGCTTTATGTGAAATCATGCGGACTCATTTTTTCAGACCTGTCGTCTGCGTTTGGACAACTACGCCATATGTGAAATCATGCGTACTTATTCTTTTTCAGACCTGTGGTCTGCGTTTGGACAACTACGCCATATGTGAAATCATGCGTAGTTATTCTTTTTCAGACCTGTCGTCTGCGTTTTGACAACTACGCCATATGTGAAATCATACGTACTTATTCTTTTTCAGACCTGTGGTCTGCGTTTGGACAAATACGCCATATGTGAAATCATGCGTAGTTATTCTTTTCAGACCTGTCGTCTGCATTTGGACAACTACTCCATATGTGAAATCATACAGACTTATTCTTTTTCAGACCTGTGGTCTGCGTTTGGACAACTATACCATACCTGAAATCATGCGTACTTGTTCTTTTTCAGACATGTGGTCTGCGTTTGGACAACTACGCCATGTGTGAAATCACGCGTACTTATTCTTTTTCAGACTTGTCATCAGCGTTTGGACAACTATGCCATATGTGAGATCATGCGTACTTATTCTTTTTCAGACCTATGGTCTGCTTTTGGACAACCACGCCATATGTGAAATCATGCGTAGTTATTCTTTTTCAGATCTGTCGTCTGCGTTTGGACAACTACGCTATATCTATTAAGAAGTCCTGCTGCAAGAACCTGCACTGTCACGACCTAGAGTATGAATGCGTTCCAGGTAGGAATCAATAGTTTACTTGGAGTATGAGAAAAAATTGAGCTCAAAGAAGTTTGTAGGGCCTCCATTAGCAGGCCTTTTTTCTTTTCTTTGCTTTTTGACATTTTTAGGTCAGCTTTTCAAAAATGGGCCTTCATTTTTCAAAATTTTAGGATTAAGGGGCCCAAAAAAGTTTCCAGGGCAAACACGGAATTCTTTTTTTCAGATTTGAAATGTGGGCTTTTTTAGCTTCTGGGTCCATCGGTGAGATATTACTCTAAGTACGAGTCTGTACCTGGATTGAGTAAGAGTGTGATACATAACGATAAAATCAATCGTAGATAGTAAAATTGAGAGCATTTAATTTCGATTCTGTGACAGATCTGCTTCACAAGAACCAAAATAGTGCTTGCAAGATTCATTGCAGAAGACATTACGACATCAATGTGAAAAATTTAAATGCGATGGACACGGACAACATCAAAAACAAAAGCAGATTGATAGGATTTGTGTAATATCATATGACTTGTTAGAGCAACAATTTTATTTGCCCGTGAATGAAGAAATAACATCCCTCAAAGGAACAGATCTGCTTCACAAGAACCAAAATAGTGCTTGCAAGATTCATTGCAGAAGACATTACGACATCAATGTGAAAAATTTAAATGTGATGGCCACGGACAACAGCAAAAACAAAAGCAGATTGATAGGATTTGTGTAATATCATATGACTTGTTAGAGCAACAATTTTGTTTGCCCGCGAATGAAGAAATAACATCCCTCAAAGGGATACTCTGTCTTAATCGATTAAGACAGAGTATCAGAGAATTTAACGAACTGTTTGATTTTTTTGAGAATTCATTATCTCAATGAATTCAATGTTGTCTATGTTATTTTCACAAGATTCATCCTAGACTCTCCAAAAATAGAGTTGACAGTATACTTTGATATTCCGAAAATACAATAGCAGAAGCCTTATCATGGACAAAAAATATTCATTTTATTGAAAATTGACTGACATTAAATCTAATAGCAATCTCAAGTCTAAGCTGCATATTTACAAGCATATCATATTTATATTCAATGCTTGTTTTCTTAGTACTCGAAATTACGAAGTAAATCACTATTTCATAGACGTCGCTGAAACATTTGTCAAAAGAAAGCTCGCTAACACATTCAACCGAATCTATATTCTTTATTAAGTCGCATGTAACCTGTCAAATCTTTACTAAGGGACTCTATTTTACAATAATTTATGTTTTCACATGTTAAATTAAATATAATGTGTAAAGATACCTTGGCAAGGTCTTGTTTTCGTAAGTTATTCAATTAAAACTCAATGTTATCCGACTTAGTTTGCTACTGCAATGTATTGCAATCTTTTTTATCCAATTTAAAACTAGCAGATCTAGGGAGTAAAATACAAATTCATGAACTTGATGAATAAAAGTATAAAAAATAAATTAATATATATATATACATGTTCATATTGCAAACGATTTCAAGACAATTGCTTGAATGTTGAGGAAAACAATAATTAAATACTTGAATGTAGGGATAAACGATACATATTCAAAATCGTTAATTTTCTTAAGACAGTATCTTAAATTAATTTCCATCCTTTGACTTTCAGCATCATGTAAAACGCCTCAAGCACCCGCTAATGGTCAGGTTTATGTCCCCAAAGCAGATGACTGGAACATCACTATATCTTATTCATGCAAAAAGGACTTTTCATTAGCGGGAGAACAAAAGAGGAGTTGTATCAAAAAAAAGACCACATACTATTACCGTCTATCGGAATGGGAATATACATGGACGGGAAATCAACCAGTGTGTAGTAAGTTAAAACTTTTTTTTCGATTTACCCCCACTCCCTCCAGTCACGCTAGTTAGTTGAAACCGTTCTACACGTCCTTTAACCACTGGTACTCAGTTACGCTGACGATATGTTAGCGTAAAAAGATGGAAGAACTTCCTGGCTTCGTTTTGGGTAAGATCTTTTTATTTCTCGATTCTACACCACTTATGAGTCAAGCTGTGGATAATTATTTGGCACATGATCTTCATGAATATTGTCACATTGGCAATATTCACGAAGATCGTAAACGTAACAAAAGCGAGGGACTACTCCTTGTTAACTGTTAAAAATAATAAGCACATAACTTCGACATATGAGTGTTACCTGATGAATGGGACCCTCACGTGCCTTCTAAATGGTAGTAAACGAACGCTAGTGTAACTACATCAGCTTATCTTTCCGTCCGATCAACAATAAATACAGTTATACAAGAAATGTAAACGAAGTGAAAATATTTCCAAAACTTTTCCGAAAGGCATGTCATTCCGGAAGTTATGATACGTTATGGTGTCACTACGGTTAATCATTGAAAAATATTGAAAAAATCACAAAATTCAAGTTCTGGTGTGAGGTTCCATATCCATCCGCCAAAAGGTATGACCCGATATAGTCCATTTAAAAATTTGTGGTTTTGTTCTAAATAACGCCATAGTTGGCTTCTAGGGTACCTAGTATGCCTCTATTTGGTATCAAAATAAAGAGGAGGAGTTCAACTTTCATTTGAATTACGAAAATAGCGATGCAGGTCAAAATAGTTCCGGCGTGAGCATGTTTACTACGCGTTTGCCAATCATCTCAGAATTGAGGAAATCAGCACACGCGAGTTACAATAAATGGACGCTGATATCTCAAAAAGAATTAGCCCATACAATGACTATATTTTTGCAATCCCCTATACATAACCTTCATCTTGACACTATATTTAACATAGGGTTTGTGTCTCGATTTTTAAATATCGCTACGCCAACATAGGGACTCATTTTTAGGTAAAATCCCTGCTTCCCCGATGAAAATTAATGAATAAAGTAGTTCCTGTTTAGGGGACCATATTCTTGAGATTTTTTGCTAAAAATGGCACATTTAGAAAGTACTTGGCCTCAGCTTTACATACATACCTCAAATGGCCACAGTACATACACTTACACCTACTATACACACCACTGAAGTTGGCATTGCTTCGTTTTTAAAGTATTAATAAAAAACACTTCCTACCCGGAAGTGATATTTACTGTAATAACACCTTATATTACTGAACATGGGTTTAAATGGAATGTTTTTTTGATGGCATTATTACACCAAAAATAGTGCGAAAATGGCCTTTTCACGGGTTGGCATAAAGTTTTGATGAAATTTAAAGACACAGTTCCTCCTTCACGTATATTATCTCATGGAAATGGGCATGCCAGCGCAAAGATCTTCGTTCCGTGGTGAAGAAAAGCTATCAAACATTGTCTGAAGAGCAGATTTATCTCCGTAATTCAACTTTTAGCATGGCGACCTTGACCTTGAAAAAAATATAGCCATTTGGGCGATAATAGGTGATTCAAAAGTAAAAAATAGTGCTTTTTCGAAGTTTTACTTTTACCATGTCAACTTGATTTTTCAAGGACATCCGCCTGATAGTTGTTGGGCCAAGTTTGATGGAAATGGGCCTTGTTTGATATGCTGGCAGTGAGGTTGATTGTGGCAAGTAGTAAAACGGCAAACAATGGTGGAGTCATACCCGATGCTTGGATGTTCGCATTTTATTTAGCTCTCGTAAAATGAACGCACAAAAGTTCCATTTTCACGCATGTTCGGTAATATAACGTATCACAGGTAACACTCATATTTCGAAGTTATGTTCTTATTATTTTTAACAGTTAACAAGGAGTACATATGTAAATTGCGTCTTCGTTAATATACCAAACATAGAACCACCTGCATATTCTCAAACTAAACTATATTCCTTGACTTTGAGCCAAATTATTGTCTACAGATTGACTCATAAGTGGTGTAGAATCGATACATGAAAATACCCGTGTTAAACACTATGAAATGCTTGTTCGTTTTTTAATGCATGGACCTACAAAAGTAAGCGGATATTAAAATTATAATGATTTTCAATTATAAAACTACGGTAGTTAAGAATGTGCGTGTTCCTGAGAAGCCCAGTATTTTTATGGAGATAGAAAATGTTATCAGTTGTCATGATTGAAGTACCGTTGTTCATTTCCCTTTTAGATATTGACACTTCGTTTTGCCGTTCGACCACAAACAGACAGGAAGTATATAGACATATATGCTATGAATTTATTGAGGACCAGTCGTATAGTTATGACGATGCAAAGAAAAAATGTAAAGATCAACAGTCTTCAATGGCGGTGATTTCCAGCACCGAGATTCTAAAACTAGTGCAGAGACACTTAGATGTAACACAACGAGAACGAAATAAATATTGGGTAATAGGTATGTATGAACCCGAAAGTTTTGCGGGTTTATTATTGAGTTTAGATTAAGAAGGAACGTCATTGTACATAGCAATATCAGTATCTCCATTGGTGTATATATTTTGTTACGACCAATTTTCAGGTTTTAATTTTGAGTCTCTATTTTCTTCTATTATGATAATCATGTTAAGTGTATCTTCATTTGAAAACTCATGGCTGGTCATCCTATTGACTGTAGAACTGTCATTTCATCAGCGTATGATTCCATTAATGCGAAAATGTATACTTAGTTTTATTGAAGACTACTTTGCATACTGTTCCTAACTTATGTTGTTTGCAAGGTTTCCTGATTAAACCAGTTTTACCCAACTTTTTTTTATTTTACTTGTTCCAGTGGACCGAACATATCTACCGAAGTTCAACGAAAGTTGGTGTGTCAAGGCTGAATTAATAAAAGGTAATTATGAGAATGATGATGTTAGTCTATCCTTTAATATATACCATTGATATCAATATAGGCTACAGATTATCGTGTCTCATGTTAACAGTATATATACATATCAAAATATAATGAATGTAAAAGATGCATGGCGCATAGGCAACAACGATACAAATAATGTTGATTGTTAATATTTAAGGATGGTGGAGTACACGTGTAGAGCTTAGGTACTTTAGACCCTTGCTTGGTGAAACTGGATGTGAGGATCAAAGATACGGAGTTGTGTGCCAGTACGGTAAACAACTTTAAGCTCTTTCTCAAAGTGCTCTTTTGGAATTAAGCTTGTATTCGCAAATTCAAATTTCGGTTGTCGGCTACCGGATTAACCTACTTTTTTATGACCAACTCATTTAAATATGAACAGAAACCTACTATTTTATGACCAACTCATTTAAATATGAATAGAACTTGCCACTATTCTATTCATATTCAAATGAGTTAGTCATAAAAAAGTAGGTTAATCCGGTAGCCGACAGCCAAAGTTGCATTCGCGAATAAAAGTTAGATTTAAAGGGACAATAACCGAGACTTAAGTATTATTTCAGCCATGTAACAAGAATAGTTTAAATCTATAATCTGACGTCATCATGATCAGTATGACTATATAATCGTATTGTTCTGACGTAGAATTCTATGAAATGACGCAGTGAGACATAATTCTTTGTCTTCTTTTTTTAGTTATAATTTAGCCAATTATCTAGTATTTGATTTTAATTTTGAATGATGATATGTTATCGAAATGGTTAATATTTGAATACATCAGTATGGAGACATATATGCATGTACATATGCGCCATATGCAATCCATATGTCTATTCTATGATATGGCACGGAAACTGTATATCTTTATCTTCACTGATCTTGTATTCTTGATTTAAACTAAAAGAACCACTAAACGCCACCAGTTGTCGTAAACTGGAGGCTCCGAGATTCGGTTACATTTCGGGACAAAGCAGAACGGTGGGCAGTAGAGTTGTTCTTGGATGTACTCCGGGCTACGTTGCTACACTGGCTATTGGAGGTTCCGACCAAACTGCTTTCGTTAGACAATGTCTACCGAGTGGCGCTTGGAGTGGTTCCTCACCTGGATGTAAACGTATGTCAATTATTCTGTACTATCATAGATGTTATTATTACATTTTGCAACAATTTTCAATGGCTTGGCTGATGCATTGTAAATCATTAATAAATAATCATAAAATTCTAAGGAAAGAAACATGTCACCTATTGGGGTATGTTTGGCAACAACAAAGAAAGTTTGAAATGATTAGAATAAGACAATGTTGTAAGTCTAGCTATGAAGCCTAAATCGAGGTTACGGTAATGCCTGGGTCACATTTGCTCTGATCCATCGGCCGGAGCCCGGCCGATTGAACGTTTTTTTTTCAATATCGTATTCAATTTTGAAAATACTCAATCGGCCGGGCGCCGTAGCGAAAATCCGAGCAAATGTGACAAGGGCATTACTAAGAAGTAGAATCCGAAGACCAAGTCCAAATTAAGTTCCATTGAAAGTTCTACCTGATATAACTCACGTCATAGATTATCTTTTTGAATGTGATAATTGTAGTTGCGCCAGAGACTACCCCAGGATCAACGCTGGTTACCACAGCAACAACACCACAAAGTAAGCTACATCCTGTCATAGATATCAAACAAAAACCATGCCCTTCACTGAATGTAACTCAGTATTTGAACAGTTGCGCATGGTTTTGTCTATTTTCAAGATCTTTACTTATCATTATCATTATTATTAAAAATGTTAAATGGTTAAATTGATGCCATAGTCAGTGTCCAAAGTTGGTTTCAATCGTTTATGTTTGGTTATATTTTAAGTTTTGGTTATATTATACTTTTCAACAAATAAATTCAAGGCCTACGCCGAAGTATTATTGGCTTTGTAGGTTACAATGATATAATTACAATAGTAGGTTAAAATGTAAATATGATAGATATACAGGATAGATATACATATGCAGGAACCATGCATGACATGGACAGATGAGCGCATCTTATGTGCAAGGAAGTGGTGGCAATTTGGAGGGGTTATAGGATGTATTCTTGCAAGAGTATGAGTATGAACACTTTACTGTCAAATGCCACACCTGTCACCCCTTATTCCAATAGCCCCTATGCCCCTTGTACTGACATTTGCAATGTTTGAAACGTAGGTTCGACCTTAATTTTGCCCCACTTTGCAAAATTAATGATTATTCGGCCAGTGTTAATGAATGATATTCCATTGCAAAGAGGAGTAATTTGGCTTTTTGGTACATTGAATGAAAAGGATGCAGTCAGCATTGGTTTTATGTTTTCTTGCAAAATTGCATCTGGCTCCGTACACTGACTTTTGCGATGTTTATTACTTGGTCAAAAGCTAATTTTGGCCCACTTTGCAAATGGAATGATTACTCGCCCAACCATGACCAAATATCAATGAATGATATATCATTGTAAAGAGGAGACACGTGCTTTATAGTGCATTGAATGAAATCAATGCTGTTATCACTGGTTTTGAGCTTTCCCGAGATAACAATCTGTTGCGTTTTTTGATACGCACTGTATAAAGATATATTTTTGGTTATTGATACTTTGTTCCTCGGCTATGACAAGTCAAACAATTCTTTGCGTCTCTTCCCTTGATCTGCTCAGTTGCTAACAATTCTGTGCGCTTTTTATTCATATGATCAAATATAAATATTTTAATTAAAGATGTGTAAATTCAAATTACTTTAATGTTTCAGGTGGAACCATTCGTATACATTCTACAGCCGCTCCAACACCAGGGATACCCACTAGTAAGATGATTTTATAAGTTTAAATAATTTAAGCAACCGATTTTCAAAGAATAAAGGTGGATAATTTTTTAATAACATGTTTTGGGGTGCTAGGTCAACTTGATTCCTTCATATTGTTTTAATGTTGATTTCTAATGTTGCTTTGTGTATATGTATAGTCTGATATACTATATTTATATCAAAGTATAATTTCAATCAAGTTTAAATGAATAAATATATTGCATCACTCCGGACTACATAGAGTCCATAGCACACAATAGGGCAGCAACGTTTGAAATAATATGGCAATTTTTAAAAATTCGTCAGTATTATTGTGCTTTTTGCCCCAGTATTAAATGAGTTAAACTGTTTTGAGCTACTTCAAAACGACTTAAGAGACTAGGGGAATGGGAGTAGTCCTGACTTGCCAACCTAAAATGAAAATTTTTCGGGAGATTTAAAAAAATTGCGGTACTTTTACAGGAGTTTTTTGTTCAAAATCCGGTATTTTTGCGCGAGTTTTTTTGAAAAAAGCAGGAGTTTTTACGGGAGATTTTTGAAAAACGGTAGTTTTTTCGGGAGATTTAGAAAACGGGAGTTTTTGCGGTAAATTTTGAAAAAACTGGGGTTTTTACGGAAGATTTTTTAAATAAGGTATTTTTCGCAGTAAATTTAAAAAACATGACTTTCTACGGAAGATTTCGAGTTTTTGCGGTAGGTTCTGAAAAAACTGGAGTTTTACGGTAGGTTTTGAAAAACGGGAGTTTTTGCGGTAGATTTTTTAAAAAACGGGAGTTTTTACGGTAGATTTTGAATTAAACGTGAGTTTTTACGGTAGATTTCTGAAAAAAACTGGAGTTTTTACTTTAGATTTTGAAAAAACTGGAGTTTTTACGGTAGATTTTGCAAAAAACTGGAGTTTTTACAGTAGATTTCGGAAAAAAGGGGAGTTTTTACGGTAGATTTCTGAAAAAACGGGAGTTTTTACTTTAGATTTTGAAAAAACGGGAGTTTTTACGGTAGATTATAATTATAGATACAACATTTTATTACTTTGGAAACGAATTGATCAAAGCTAAGTAAAATGTATATGTGGCGTTCACTATATGCTAAGGGCAATCTGCGCGAGGTTCCATTTTTAGGTGCGGTTTTTCGCGCATGAGCATTAAATCCAGCGATTTAATTGGTTGAAATGATTATGACGCATGCGCAGTTAATAAATTAATTAGGACTTATAATCTAAGATAGATGTCACTTACGTTCATTATTTCACAGCAGTCCCTACCCATAATGCGCCTTATATTGCGGGAATATTTTGTTTAGCGCCATATAAAAACAAAATGTATTCTCCCGACAGTAGTATGACAGAATATGAACTGGCCCCCGTTTGTGGACATTTGGTGTGCAAACTTATACCGAACTGATCGCAGAAAAGCAATTTGAATCATGGGAATGAAGTACTTTTAAGTTATTTATGAAAGTATCGATAGTGAACCATTGGATCCAATCCTTCTTGGAGTAAAAGAAATAAGCGTGCCTGCAATAATCAAGATAGAGAGATTTCAGCAAATATACGGGAGATTTTACGGCTATATTTTTAAAAAAAATTACGGGAGATTTTAGTAGAAATACGGTACGGAAGTTTGGTATTTTTTACGGAAAAACAAAAGATTTACGGGAGATTCCCGTAGATTCCCGTAAAAAACGGGAGGTTGGCAAGTCTGTCTAAGTCGAATACATCATTAAATTAATCCAGCATGTGATAATCCTTTGTAAGATCCAAATTATGTTATGTATATCATTATGGGTTGTCGAGTTGGACGAGAGGGCTTGAGCGCCAGCACGTTCAGGCTAAGCAATTGGGTGCCATAACCACGAGGTTGCGAGTCCGAGGCACATGCGCTCCTTGAGTTTATTCAATTATGTAAAGACCCTAATAGGATGCACTAATAGTAACAAATTCAATGACGACTATGTGTTTTTGCAGCTCCGCCGGTACTTCGCAATACTTCAAGTTGTGAGTTGTCTAGAAAAAATGCCCCAGCCGCAATCTATATGCAGTGCCGCCCGCACATGATGGTTCAGGTGGATTCTGCATTCATTTATGCAAATGACACTGTTCCCTGTGTGACGAGAAACAAACATTGTACATTCGATATCCTAAGTATTGCAAACACGACATGCGCTTCAAAAAAGGTCTGTAGGGTGGAAACTGGTCCCATTTCCAAGAAGAACAAGGGGTTGTGTTGTCGTGATTTAACCTGTCATAGCGTGACATATCATTGTGTTCCAGGTAAATACCGTTTTATTGTTGTCTGGAAATTTAGTGTCGTGTATGTCCTTTCATAATATAGCATTTCCAAGGAGAATTATTTAAACTCGATCTTCCGTTGCCTTGGATAGACCAATTTTCTAACAAAATAGAGTTTGAATATTACCATAAATCTTGCAATGCTAATATTCACACGAAATACTTGGTCAAAAGATTAACCATTAATAATATTATTACTACATTCTTAATTGTTTTATACAAGGCAACGAAGTATCGAGATTGAATAATGGCTGCCGATACGCTTTGTAATTTTTCAATGTATTCCAGCTAATCATCTTAATTTGTTTTGTATTGATGTGTCATATCATCATGTGCTAGGTGCATGCAGTAATTTATTTTATTGTATGTATTGTATTGTATGTAGCATCTGTATACGTGCAAGGTATATGACACTATTATAACACTATGTTAAGGCGGATATATATGTAGGTTTAGTGTAGTTATGTTCATACATCCTGTGATTGTCTCCATCTGTGTTAAAAATTTGGAACTTAACGCTTAAAAGAATAGACTAGATGCGAGTTAAAGTAATCTTGATTTTCGTCATTAGAAATTCAAAATTCAGTCAAAGTAATGTCATATTTGGATTCTACATGAAAAATCTAGAAATGTGGTTTTGAAAATAGTTTATCAACTTTCTAAATTTAAAAATGTGACTTCTAGGTCGGGGAGATTCCCCATAGACCCCATGTTGTAAAATCACAAAAAGTGAAATATCTTTTCTAATGTTGGGCAGATAATGTTTTAATTTGTAAACTATAATGAACATAAGGGTGACATATATGAAAAGTAAACAACTAAAACTGACGAATGTTCAAGTTTAAGGGAACTTTGTAATACCCTGCCATGTTATTTCCCCGAATCGGCCACCTGGTGGCGAAACTGGTAACTACCTACTCGCATCTGAGTAATTAAAGATAAGTCACTGGACCCATCAGATCACAACTAGAACTCTCAACGTTATTGAAAACAAAAATTAGCCATTCGTTATATTTGGTTGTAATAACATGCTTCTGATCTAAATGAAACTAGCCTGTATGAACTGATACGCCAATAGGCTTGTTTACATCATTCTAGCGAGATGTCCAGAACCATCTAAACCTAATAATGGTACAGTGGTCACGTCTCCACCGTCCAAATCATTCGTACGTTCCTGGGAAGAGCAAGCCAAATATACGTGTGATAAGGACTTCACCCTCACAGGACCAATGACCCGAAAGTGTTCGCGATACAGAAAATATGTGTACTTTGATAGTGATGAATATTATTATAACTGGAACGGCAATATTCCCGTTTGCAGTAAGTTACATTTTCATGTAATGAATGTTCTATTACAAAGTGTTGTATATATGGTGTACATTAAGTACGCACCTCTAGTCTTTGGCATTTGGTAATTTTCCCACTTCATTAATAGTAATTAATTGGGCAGTCAATTTTCGCATATGTTAGGCTACAACAACCTTTACAACAAGAGATTACCTGTAACTCTGTACAGGTAACTCCTTTTCATAACAATAACGGGCAATGGAGACGGGGTAGAATGTCCTAAAGAGTTGCGCATTTTGGGAATATTTCCAAATTAAAATCACTTGAAATACTATTTTCAGAGACTATTTTCCAAATGAAAAGGATTCAGCTTGTTTTTTTACTATTGCCCTTAGGAAAGAAAAAGCTGGATATGTAGCTCTGCATGTTTTAAAAATTATGTGCACGTGCAATACATTTTAAAGTAATATGAGAAAAACACAAATAAATCCGTTTCCCCTCAATTGCTTGTCAATGAGTTTTTATATCTTTCTATCTATATATTTTTTTCAAAAGAACATAATATTCAAAAATAGGATGTCTTGTACTTTCATATTAACTCAGACTGTTAATCATATCAAATGTTTCGTTTCTCGTTCACAACATTTCAGGTGATGGGTCTAATGTTTGAGCCAAAAAAGATGCCCCCTCCATAGTATTGTTAAGTAATGGAAATAGTTAAATGAGTAATACTCAAATGATATCACAAAAGTTGTATTTTTTAATTTAGCTATTGATTCCTCGTTGTGTAAGGCCACAACAAATAAATTGGAGGTCTATGGAAATACGTGTTACCAGTTTTTCGAAGCCCAGACCCATAGTTACACTCAGGCAGAATCAGCATGCAAGGCTTTGGATGGTTGGGAGTTTGCTGTCGTTTCAAATGAAGCGATATTGGATATAATCAACAGTCATATGAATGCTCAGTATCGTAGCTCTCAGCGATATTGGTTAAAAGGTAAGTGGAACAAATACACAAACCGAATTATTTGGTTTTGTGGCAAATCTGGTACAGAGATATAAGTGAGTTGTTCTTTTAAAGTGACTGTCATCAGACAAGAGTTTTCCCTTGTATTAAAGAGCGTTCGATATAAGTTATCGAATATTGAAACAATTCTTAATATACTTCAAACTGTAGACAATCATGACAAATAGTCAAATATTTTGTATTTCTTCGTACTTTTGAAAATCTCAATTGGTACAGAATTGTGCTTCCAAAGCCTATTTTGAAGATGCTACGTGTAAAGGTTTATAATTGTTTTTTTGTTCTAGTTGATAAAAATTATAAGAAGGGCGTAAACGATTCATTATGTGCCTACGCCCATGTTTACGTCCCCACTTACAGCAGTCCATACACTCGAATTCGATACTTCAGTTCAGAAAAAGGCAACGACTGTAACAACAAATATGGACACATCTGCCAGTATAGTAAGTATAAACTTTAGTTTAATTGTTTCCCATACAATATTTGTGACAAATGTTTACACAATATGCCAATATTAGGGAGGATTAGAATTTTAAAAAAACTTGTAGAATTATTATGGTCGTCCGTGGATTAGTTCTCCCATTTAAACTGTTTACTTGGTCGATTTAGTATGAAGGTATAAATAGAATACTCTGGTAATTGTACTTAGGCCCCTGGAAAATTGAATTGAGAGCGGACGCGGGGCAATAATCCCGAGGGGTCGAAAAACAGTCGCGTACAGGTTCTCTTTAAATCGTGTCACTTAAACTACCTATTATGTAGCAAGTATGGACTTCACTATACTAAGTTTTCGTACTTTATAAAATATATGATACACATGCTAATATAGTGAAACGTTCTAATGGCCGAATTAACTCTCTCTTTTAATGCTCTGTCTTTACGTGTAATGCCTAATACATCCTAGGTCAGTTGTGTTTAAATAAAAAATATTGAATTAATTTGGCCTTTTCAGGACCGACAACCCGGAATACATGTCCAGACATTAAAGTTCCAAATGGCTTTGTGGATATGAAGAGTAGAGCCGTAGACAGTGTTGCTACATTGGGTTGTAATCCAGGTTGGATCGCAACACCACGGCGAGATGACTACACCCGAGTGTGCATGAAGAATGGTATGTGGAGTGGCATTACACCCTACTGTGAAGGTAAGGACATTTTATTTAACTTTAATGTTTACAGTCTCATGTTCCTTGTGTGTTCTCGTAAAGTATTTGTTTAACTGTGTTTCTCATATGACCATGTTTTCTCTTTATCTCTTACACTATTTTCCCTATCCTCTCCCTCCCTCCCAGTCATCATCTCTTTGACTTTCTCCATATTCATCTTTATCTGTTTATCTGTATCAAATCTAATAACAAACGTATGCGAGAAGCATTGTTTTACATATAATTTTTATTTTGACGATTAGCAAACCTCACAGATACATCATGCAGCAGAACCGACTACGGTGACAAGAATGTGTTTAGTCTCGAGTGCGACTTTAAGTCAATGGTGAAAATAGATCGAGCTACTTTGTATCCAAACTCAACGGACGCGTGTACTAGAACAAACCAAGACTGTACACTTAACATCACTGAACTTGCTATTAGAAATTGCAAACACCAGCAGAAATGCCAACTTTCGTTGAATAGCTATGCAAAACAGAATAAGAAAACATGTTGTGCCCCTCTAATTTGTCACAACATAGCGTATCAATGCGTACCAGGTAGGTAGATAATTTTAAGTATTGACTTTATACGGAAAGAAAGAGTAGAAATGAGTAATAAGCCATTTCACTGAGCATTTTTAAGTATTCTGGTATATAACCCAGCAAGAAAACTTGACATTGTCATATGATTCATCTTCTAAAAACTCATTGCAATATCAGTCTTACAATTCTTAATTAAGGAAAATGTGATGTTCCACAGCCACCAACAAACGGAAAAGTTACGACGGAATTTAATGCTGATCCACTATCTGACCTATCAGATAGTTGGAAGGCAGCGGCAACATATACATGTGACATAAACTTTAGTCTGTATGGCGATTCTGTCAGAACGTGTGATCAGAGACAAAAAGGACAAATGTCAAGTCTCTTCGTAGACGATGGGTTTGAGTACACATGGAAAGGACGGGCCCCTGCTTGTAGTAAGACATTACATATTTTTAATAGTTTGATATATTGGAGAATTGCTTTCATGTGACTGGTTACCCTTTAACGTTTTCGCAACGTTTTGTATTGCGTTCCGCCCAATTCTCTAAGGTTTAGTTAATAGTGTTTATTATCATATTGCAGACGTTGACGAAACATTGTGTCCAGCGACTGCATTTAAAAAGGAGACACTCGGTCGTATGTGCTATGAATTCCACGACCATCAGCAGACAACGTTCCAAAATGCTAAAGAGGCTTGTGAGAGTAGGGGATCGAAACTTGCAACGGTAATTAATGCAGACACTCTTCGTCTCATACGGCATCACATGGATTTTGATCATAGATCAAATTACAAGTACTGGGTAAACGGTAAGATACATGATCATTTCCTCTCTTGAGTGGACATCCACAAGAGATAATAAAAATAAATCTCACTAAAACAGGCACTCTGCATATATCAGAAAAAGGACATAGAAACTAGGAAAATATAACACTATTAATTGTGCTTTATATAAGTTATTTTGCAAATTTCAGAAATTAGGCTAAAAGCTTTTTTTCACTTAGGTGCTTTTTAATTACTTTTGAATGAATACATGACGAATATGCTTCCTGGTCATCTCAACCACAAGTCAACTCAACCCAGTAAAACTCAACCCCAAGTTAAGCCAACCCTGTAAAACTTAATCCCTATATTTTTATTTATTGATAAATTATTGATAAAAGTTTGGATGCCCAATGCTCTTACTTTGAATTTGCGTTCTCAAATGCTTTTGCTTTATTTCTTTTAGTTGATCCGAAGTTTTCTGATTCATTCGACACGGCTTGGTGTACGTATGCGTATTTCGCTCCACCACTTGGAGCCATTGGATATTATGACCCAAAGAAAAACGATGGTCGATGTTCAAATAAATACGGATATATTTGTGAATACGGTAAGTAAACGTGTTATATGCTATACGTTAGATTTACTAACTGGGCAAACGAATTAAAAGAGGAATCAAATAATTGCATTACCTCATTTATAAATAGATCTTATCAAAGTAAAGGCACACTACTATGTATCAACAATAAACTCTATTCCCAAAATGTATTGAATACATATATGAATCATCATGTAAAAGAGGTGTTGCTTTGAACATAATAATTCTGGAAGACATGTTGTCTTCAAAATACTTACTTGGAACTGCTATGCTTTCGATTAAAAGAAAGAGATGTTCATTTATTTAAGAGAGCAGATGTTTTGTGCGTTCCTTTTTTCTGTTACAAACACATATATATATACAAATAAAGATGCTGCCGTATATTCCTCCAAACGTTTACTTACTATGCCAAACTTAGTACGCCAAAACATTTTATTGTTTCTAAGACTCAGAAATTTGAGTGTTAATATGTTTCAAAATTCACTGCTATGTTTTATTTTTATTTTTCATTTATGTTGTTATTTTGTAATTTTAGAAGCACTGAAAGCGACATCTTGTGATGCTCTCGTCACACCAAGAAACGCTTATAGAACAGGTACAAGTCGAGCAGTTGGGAGCACCGTAACGTTCAGGTGCTTCCCCGGATATACTCCCTTCCCATTCAGATCATCAAGGACTTACACAAGACAGTGTCTCGACAATGGAGAATGGGATGGTGTCACCCCGTTTTGTCGAAGTACATCATTCATACACACTTAAGTATATGTAGATATAATGAAATGGTTGATATTTTGCAGATAAAACAAATGAGGGTCTTTCAAGTATACGGTTTGAGACCTCTTTAAATAAAAAAATGCGCTTGACTCCTCTTATTTGTCCTGCTTACCAACTCTCTTGTACATGTAGTGTCACATCCTAATGGATTGTGTTTCCTTTTGCCATTTATAATTTTAGTTATCCCCATACTACCAACAACACCATCCAGGCCTGCCGAAACCACTACTACACCAGTTCCTACTACTACAATGCCAATGTTTGAAACACGCAAAGGGGGTAAGGAATTGCAAAAGCAATATATGTTTGTTCGCATTTTCGCTGTTTATTTTATTCTTTTTTTTGTTAACATGCACATCACCTATCAAATACCAATTTTTCAGCTAGTGCCTTATCTCCATCTGGTTGAACTTTTCTCGATCCATACAGCAGTATAGATACTTGTGGAAAATCGTGAAATTCCATTTTAATCAATAGCTGAAATGCTTTTTAATGATTTTTATAATTGGCAATATCTATAATTGCAGCAAACGAGAGTTCCTGTGCTAAGGGCTATTGGGGAGACAAGCCGACTTTCTATTTGAAATGTCCAGAAGGGTTTATGATTATAGTCACCAACGCGATATTACATCCTGAGAGGACTAGTAAATCATGTGACGTTAAAAACACTCCAGATTGTAGACACAATTTTACTGAGAGGGCTGCTGCAAACTGTGAGTATACAGAAGTTTGCAGGATGTCACTGCATAGCTACATTGGCGAGAATAAAGGAAGTTGCTGTGAAGAAATCTGGTGTCACGAAGTTGATTATTATTGCGTTGAAGGTACATAGCATTTATCAATTCCCCACGCAAAAGGTTTATTTAGCCTCTATCTTTATCAGGGTTTTGCCCACACTACAGATGATAGTTGTTACCATATAGTATATATCTAATATCTTAGAATAAGTTACTTATCAAAGATAAAAGATATTGAATAGTTTTATCTAAAAACGTAACAATCTGGCATAATCAAGAGTTCATTTCTTTGTTATGTCTGAAATTGGTTGTAAACCTATGATATACATATCGTACACTTTTACTTTTCCAAATGCGTTTACTGTTCCCACCATACTTTCACGTTATAGCAAAATGCAGAAACCCACCAGCTCCCCTGAATGGCACCGTTGTGACAAGAACACCTCCCAAAATTGAAGGCGAGCCTCCTAACTCATGGGATCAGAATGGTCTAGCTATGTACACATGTGACAAAAAATTTGAGTTAGTTGGCCAAGACACCAGAACCTGCGACCGTAGCCCAACGTGGCATTCGTTTGGCGAACCCGATGTTGAGTATAAATGGAATGGAGTGGCTCCAATGTGTAGTGAGTAGTGAATAGCATTGATGTACCAGCTCGCTCATTAATTCAAAAGCATTTAGCTAATAACTGCAATTCAACAATAAAATATACACGTTAAGATGTCTTTGAGTCGGTATTTTTCTAGTTTCATCAAAACAGGCCGTGTACTAAAGGCATTCGGAAATATATTATTAACATTTCTTAAAGGTACTTCCAAACACTTTTGAGGTAGAAATGAGAGATTTCAAGAAATATGTATAAACTATAGTTTCACCTTTTTATTAGGATATGTTCCGATACCAAAACACAACTGATCAATTAATATTTATCAGTTTGAAAATGAAAACATATTAATGTTTGGGTCCTATTTTGTGAAAATCGAATGAGAAACAAATCCATCGAACAAGACATGTTATAATAAATGGCGGTCAATTTGATCATTTCTTCTTCAACAGGGCTCATTTGTCCCTAGGTATTAGAGAACTAAATTTGAACAAAATTCATCCACTGCAATTTGAGTTATCAAAGGTTACCCTGAGTGCAGAGTCTAGTTAAACTACTGAAGACGGAGCTCTCTTTTAAGAAGTGAAGTCAAACGAATGCAAAGGGTAATCAAAGGTATGATATTTTATGAATAGTGATCTTAAAAACATCTTCTTGAGCAGACCTCCTTTGCCCCTAGGCACCAGCATAATATGAACCAAATCTGTTAACACACACTGTGCACTTTGGTTATCAAAGATTACGTTTTGCGAATAATATCGGTCATTTTGAAATTCAATGGCCATCTTGTATATGTCTTTTTGAGAAGGACTCTTTTGTCTATAGACATCAGTATTTGATAATCTGACTTTTTTTTGCTGACAAATTGATAAAACCAGTAAGTCATGACAAATTATATTTTGATTATTAGATAATATTTTCAATCTATTCACGCAGTCTTTAATTTATATATCAAAGGATTATCCGTAAATAAAGTTAAAATTGTCAGACTTTTTCATAGAAAATGAGCATGACATGGAATGGTGAATGCAAAAAATATTGTAAAATATTGAGACAATTTTGTAAACTTGCTATTACTTCGTATCTATCCTTTCTATTCTCTTTACTAGACATTAAGAGAAGTCTGTGTCCGTCAACGAGTAACAAGATGGAGGTACATGGTCATATGTGTTATGAGTTCTTCGAGCAACAGAGTACAACCCACGATCAAGCCCAGACTGCATGTGAAGTCAAAAAAGGATGGAGTATTGCCGTAGTCGCAAATCGTGAAGTGTTGAATATTATCCGAAATCATTTGAATCTCGAGATAAGATCACAACAAAATTATTGGGTAAAAGGTAGACATCAGACTTTCACCACATACATGTGTAATGTATTTATAGACTCCAATCTTACATTAACAATAATGCGTATCATTTTTATCCGGTAATTTTACATCTCTGATGGGGTCTTTGGCAATCAAATTAAGACAAATATTTGAAAACCTTGTATAATACTTTGGACTAAAAATATTTTCAGTTCACCAAGACTTTGCAGAGGAACTGAATGCTACATGGTGTACTTACGCATTCCTCGTGTATACCAATTTTGGTAATCCTGTCGGAAAGCTTGGATACTATGAGCCATTGGAAGGGGAGGGTGATAAATGCAACCTGACATATGGCTATGTATGTCAATATGGTACGAATTTAAATAAATTTACTTACGTAGAGCGTTCTATTTACACCCCAGTCACATTTGTCGCACGGCGGCCGCAAGTCGACTGCAGATCAATTAAATCTGTGAATTTCTACGGCAAAAACTACGCTCGTCTTACGCCGTTCGGCGTATCCAATTTTTTTACAGGCCGCAGGGTCGCCGTAGAAATTATAACTCGGAGTTATAATATTTGTTCATTTCTGAGGTCCCCGTAGAAATTAACTGGCTCAACAAGATTGAATCATTATTTGTCAATGTTTCACGATCACTTTTCATTTGATATTACATCCTAGCACTATGAATAACATTTATAAATTGTCCCGATGTAAATAAAATGAAAAAAGTATTATTTGTCAACAGAAATTTAAAATTCACTGTGCGGCTGCCGTGGGAAATGTGACTGCAAAAGTATGAGAGCTCAGAAATTCCACGGCGAGCGTAGAAATGTTAATGGCCGCAGAAATGATAGACCGCAATGTCGCCGTAGGAAATGTGACTGGGGTGTAAGATATGTGTGATTTGGTTGAATACCACAATATATCCTCAAAATGCATGCTAGGTTGCACACACAATCGATAATATCATAATCTAAAGCCCCCCCCCCTTCTAAAAATGATGTCAATATATCTGATAGCATATGGAAGTTATTGATTTACAATGCAGGTATGTCGATTTATTAGAATGGAAGAGGGATTATCGAAGTGCTTCCCAGACAATATGATACTTTTCCTTTTTTAACTGGTATGCTGATTATCATAATGTAGGAACTGTTAGCTCAGGTCGAATCTAGTCTTTGTTGAACATTTAGCTGATATTGTTGTTTGACTTTTGCTATCAGAATGTGATAAGTAGAACATTTAATTTAAAAAAAGTTGTCATTTCATTTACTTCCAGAACCCGTACCCATCACTGAGTGTGCTTTACTAGAAGTTCCAGACAATGGTTATCTCAAAAACAACACTCGACAAGTCGGAAGTGTCGCGACATTAGGATGTAAATCAGGGTACATCGACAAGAAGAGACGCGAGACTATATCTAGAACATGTCTGGAAACTGGTTTATGGAGTGGAAGGTCCCCAAATTGCATAGGTATACATGTAAACATGCATGCACACTATTCACAAACATTCATTCATATGCAATTTAAGAAGACCTTTTTTATTTCAAAGGAACGATAACTCAATGATAATGTATTTTGGATATTAGCTAATTTTATATAATCGAAGACCTAGGGCGGTGAATTCATACGATCCGCGATCCGATCTGGATAAATTTCGTCATGGTAGGCCTACTGTAATGATGCATTGTGGGATTAATCCAAGAATTAATCCTAAAATCGGTGAATTCGTACGATCCTGGGATTAATCTCAGGATAAATCTCAATCCACCTCTTGAGGTGGATTACTTTTTGGATAAATTTTATCCGAATTCCAATGTAAATTGGATAAATCTTGGGGATTCCCCTTATAATCCTCGGATCGTACGAATTCACCAAATATTTATCGGATTAGTAATCCAAGATTTAACCCAAAAGATAGAATTTATCTGGATTGGATTGGGGATCGTACGAATTCACGGCCCCTAGTCTTCATTTCATATGTCTATGTTTGGGCACAGGATGAAGTTACATGACAAGCAATGTGAGTCCCGTCTTGTATAGATGTGCAGCACTTGTTTTGAGCTAATCATACACTCACATTTTTATAGTGACAAAAATAGCCTATACTAGGGGTTGGCCAAAGAATGTTACTGATTTTAAAGTGTAATAATTCATATTTAGTCTCAAATATTCCGAGATGACTAAGGACTGACGCAAATTATGTTCCATAGTAGTCACGTGGTTATTATGCACGCCTCTGCGCTTTTGGTGGCTACTAATCAAATCAACATGTCCATTTTAGTGAACGACGTGTTCCATCAATGTGCCACACTGACCAAGCATTTCTTGGCCATACATATTGGATTATCAATAACTCCCCGAGTCATTTCTTATAATATTTGGTTGATCTCACGCGTCAAGTCTTAGTCATCTCAACATTTTTGCCCACTTTGTTGAAAAAGGGCAACCAATATCAAAGGGGACCATCATTAATTAGAACTACTATGCGATTTCAGATTTACAGTTTCTACAGAATTCTACGAATTCTACAACAACGACGTATAGCCCCCTGGGACCATTTCCAAATATTGCAGCGAATAGACAGTCAAAGCGCGACAACCATTGTAAGTAAAAATGTCATTTCTCTATATAATCGTCCTACAAGTATGCCTGCCGGTGTAAAAGGGTAGGAGGTCCTATCAAATTGTGGTCCTACTCTCCATTGATTTATATGGTGACCTAAATACAACTCTTTCCCTCATTATTTTATAAACAATCAGGGTCAGTAGGGGCCGTTAAGAAAGGGGATCATAATCCCCTGGGGACCATCATTCTCTTTCACACTGGTCGGTCCATCTTGTTTTCTGTTGGCTATTTTGGAATTTTTTATATACATATTACCATTCTTTTTAACAAAGCAATACGTTGAAGTGTAATGATCATATGATCACATTGACTAGTTGGAATCAGTTGCCAAACGAGAATAAATGCTGGTCAAAAATGGAGGCTAAAAATGTGTCGTCAGATTTTAGTGATACAAAAAACGGAAATTACATACTTGTATTGTTTAATTTGAAACTGTTATGATTTATTAAAGATTTTTAATATTAGAGTTCAGGCTTTTACACAAATCAATACACATCAAATTTAATTGATTGAAGTAACTAGTAGAGAGGTTAAGCAAATACGGTTTTTCAAAACGTATACGTAAACGCAAAGTACATTGAATCAACATAGGATTGTATCGCTTTAGTCTACTTCAGATACCCGTTCAACTTCAAAGTTGCGTGTTTAGGACGGGAGATTTACATATTTCACGTTGCTATCAACGGGAATCATTATACTCATGTCTGTTGAATACTATCCTTGCAATTTTGATTTCGATGCAGAGTATAATTCTTTCTGAAGAAGATGATGTATGTTACGCATGATTTAACTCCAATAATCTTACGAAACGAGCTCGTTTAAAATATGTATTAGAAAACCAGCTATTGAACTTCATCAATGGCATACTATGTAATCAATACAAGCTATGGTGTAGTCTAAACAAACACTAGAGCTGAACGGCTATTTATGTGTGAACTCTACATGTATTTGTATAGGGGCCATTGATACGTTTAAGTTGCGTTTTGGATTTTATACGGTAGCTTAACCTCTCCAGTATGTAGTTATCAGACGTCCAATATTATGTTAGATGCTCTAGTATCAAGCATCAATCTCAATCCCATTATGCAATCGTAACAAAGGAAATTCATGCCGAAATTCCCAGTCGGATGTTTTGCCATAGTTAGTCGAGTTCTCGTATCTTTTCAGTATTCCACATCTATTCATCTTGCTTGTTTGTTAGAAAATTCAAGTGTCATTATGGAGAAAATGCCATGTCTTTGAGTAGGTGTATTAAATAAATATTTACGATTTTATAGCTTCCGAGTCGCTCGGTGTAGGAGTGGGTATAGGACTTGGCATAGCAGCTGTTCTTGTTGCGGGGTTTATTGTTTTTCTGATGTACAGGTAAAAATCTTGACCAGCCGAAAATTCCCCCTCCTAAATAATGCTGTTATAAACAGTACAAAAGTATCTTAAATACAGGCTATATAAAGCACTAAGTGTGAACAATATTTCTTTACTAAAATGGGCCGCAGTGTTAACAAAGTTATTGAGTACAGAAAAACGGTACATTTTAGATATATCCATTAGGACTCAAGAAACTTCGCGAACAACCAATCTCAAAATTTCCAAACGACCGAACGAATCTATTCATATGTTAAATACAAAGTCGGAGAGAATGCTAAATAACCTACTTGATGGATATATTAAAATGTGATTTCGATACACAATCTTAATCGTGTATTTATATTTTTTAAGACGTTATTCAAAAGCAAAGGAATTCAACGGTGACCAAATGAACGCTGAACCAACGTCATTTGACAATAGAGTAATTCAAAAAGACCATGCTATAGAACCTCCTTTTCCGTTGGAGGCGATGGTTGGCACGGGGGATATCATCGGAGTCTCTGAAAAGGACAAGGAAGCAAAGATCCCCGAAAAGGACTCAAAGAACCCATTCAGCAATGGAGTCATGTGATAAAATCTACGGTGATCTAAATTTAGTTATGTATGTATTTGACACGATGTATATGGTATTTCAATAATGCGTTTTGTGTTCTTCTTAATGGGAACTTAAGTTTCCACTGAGCTCTGTGAACGCAATGTGAAAGCTGGATTTGAATGTGATCGTTTCCGGAATCAAATTTAAATCAAGCATTCCCTCTTATTTGATAACTTCAATGTTTACATAGACATATCAATACTGATGCTATAATTCCATTCATTGTGTCGGCACCTATCATTGTTAAAAAGTATTATTATTTTCAGATGTACAAAATAATATGGAGATGACGATGCGACAAGTACACTTACTGACTTGAGCCAGTTTTGTGAATTCACGTTATAACATTACTACAGAACAGGGGAGTAATTCACCAAACTAATACCTAGGTCACATAGCCGCCGGGCGCCGGCCGATGAGTAGTCATCGGCCGATTTCTAAATCGACCGGGCGCCGGTGACTTTTCACCGATGTCTTGGTCTAATCATGAGTATGGTCACATAAGTACAGGCATCGTACGGCGCCCGCAATCAATTGAATCTGAAAGACATCGCACGGGTATCGCAAGGCTATCTGCCGATGGCCGTGCGGCACCCGCCAGGACATCGGTCGATCTTCAGGCCTCTAGATTTATACTAAATTCTTGTATGACCCGGTGTAAAAGAAATTATGGTCTCCTGGGGATTATGGTCCCCTTTCCTTACGGCCCTTACTGGCCCTGACTGTGTATAAATAATAAGGAAAATAATTGTAATTAGGTCACCATATAAATCAATAGAGAGTAGGACCAACATTTGATAGGACAACCTACCCTTTTACACCGGTATGACTGTTCCACATGGCGTGAATGCAAGATTCGAAAACGAAATATTTCGATAGACAGGACTTCCAGGATAATAATGTTTTCATGCAATAAAAATCAGAAAAAGAAGATCCTCTTTTCAGTAAATAGGTTCAATATTTAGAGAAAAATGCTGACACGGGGTCCCTATTCATAATTTTTCAAATTGTTTGGTTGATATTTTTACTATCATGGGTACTTCAACTGAAAGAAAACATTGTTTTAATAAAAACACTGTATTTATGCCCAGAAAGTACTCATGGTGAAAGATATGACCGTCTTAAATCACTTGCCATACTGCACGTGGTCTTTTCATCAAAGTGCACCCTGACCTTAATTCATTTTTAGATCTTTCATATAAACAAATACTATGTCTACCTGTCCATCCGATGCTATTAGCAAAATTCCCTATTTCTGCATCTTTCTTTTGTCTGTTCTCGAAAAGAGAATTTGTTTGGTCATAAAAATATGGCCTATCTTCAAAGAAATTGGCAATTTTTTCTTCTATTTCAAGTGGAGTAAGCTTACCCTCTTCCCTAGACACATCTAAATCTTCAACATCCACCAGCTCACTAGCATTGTTATTGGAGAGGTTAAGCTAACGATGTTTTTCACAACGTAACCGTGAACGCAAAGTACAAAAATTAACAAAGGAATGTATCGAGCGCTCATAGTTTTATGCGCGCTTAGTCTACTTCAGATACTCTTTCAGCTTCAGAGTTTCGGGTTTAGAACGGGAGATTTGAATATTTGACGTTGGGTCAACGGGAACCATTTTACTCGTGTCTATTGAACACTATGCTGTCAATTTTGATTTCAATGCACAGTTGAATTCTTGCTGAACACGATGATGTATGTCATGCATGATTTAGCGCCAAAATCTTACGAAACGAGCTCGTTTAAAATATGTATTAGAAAACCAGCTATAAAACCGCATCAATGACATACTATAGAATCATTACACGCTATGGTGTAGTCTAAACAAACACTGGATTTGAACGGCTATTTATATGAGAAGGCTACATGAATTTGTATATGGTCGAGTGATACGTACAGGTTCAGTTTCGATTATATATGCAAAGCTTAACCTCTCCATTGTCGTTTTCCACCTGTCTTCCCATCGCCTTCCTCATTGGCCTTATCCCCTCTATCCTAAAGCCTTTGGCATATTAACTGTAATTGAGACAGTGAACTTTCGTATTAAAATTGTGACCCTTGAAAATACTGTACTCACAAAAACATTCAGAAGATTTTTAAAATAAATGATTTGTAATAGTATATGCATGAGTGAATATACGCATAAAAATGTATCACTCTATTCAATGTGTATTACAGACATACACGATTAATGTCAATATAAGAACGACTATATCAACCCACCCACCCAGCCATTCAAATGTGTGTCATTGTTTTACAGTAAGCCTAATCGTTCCATTTATGTTTTATAAAAAATCTCTGACAGTGTGAAGTAATTATAATTCCTTACCTCATTCTTTTTAAAACCTTTATATCACTTTATAAGTAATCATTATTAAGATTTATCAAACAAATCAGCACGCAAAATCCCAAGATGACCATTCGATGCCACCGGGCGCCGTAAGATAATCGTACGATGACCGGGCGGGACACGGCCGGGTAGGTACCGATGAGTTTGGTTGAGAAAAAATCGCCAAGACATCGGCAACTTTTATCTCCGCGATAAAACTCTGCCGGCGCCCGTACGATGTCTAAAAATCGGCCGATGAGTGGCGATCATCGCCCGGCGCCCGTACGATGCCCGGGCTCGCCGGCCGATTTCGAACAAAATACTCATCGGCCGGGCGCCGTAGTAAAAAGCTGAGCCTATGTGACCAAGGCATAAGCACGAGTAGAGAGCTCTGTACATTATAAAGAACAGCACAGCAGATTTTATGACCATGTGCTTTTAAACAGTCATCGATGTAAAACGTGAATCTTTGTGTAAAATATGCGCAACATATATGTGCAATAAATATTTGGACATTATGTTATGTCTTGGTCACATTTCATCGGCCGGCGCCCGGCCGATTGAGTATCCTGTTCATTCATAATTGTATTCACTTTTGAACAGAATACTCAATCGGCCAGGCGCCGGCCGATGAATCGGAGCAAATGTGACCCAGGCATTAGGGATAAAGTACGAGTATTGGGTCTAAGGAGGAATAATAATATTAATTCTCCTAGGACCCAATACGATTCGTTCATCTTATTTTAGCCCCGCAGAAACTCTTATGCCTTGGTCACATTTTCTCAGATTTTCACTACGGCGCCCGGCCGATTGAGTATTTTGTTCAAAATTGAATACAGTATTGAACAAAACACTCAATCGGCCGGGCGCCGGGCGATAGATCGGAGCATATGTGACCAAGGCATTATGAAAGCTAAGTGGTCCATGATCCATTTTTGGAAAGCTTTTCTTTTGTATTGACTATGAGGTAAGAGTGTTGAGAAGTCGGTGTAATTAGTTCAGCTTCAGTGCACTGCATGTAACAGTTTACACTTTGATTTATTTAGTGTTTACTATTTCAATTATTGAATGAGTGAATAGGGTATAATTGGTCCAGCTTTAGTGCACTGCATGTGACAGTCAATCATCTTTGTGCCACATTGGTTTTAGATAGCTTGCCAAGTGTACATTCTTTAAAAAATAGAAAATAATGCACTTTCTTTTACTTTTGATTCAACCGGTGATTCTTTAAAACAAACCAGGGCTCATTCTATAGTGTTAGTGGGGTTTAAATAAAGGTGAAAGTAACCAACAAATAGAACTAGTGTATATTAAAGCTTAGAAATGTGTAAAATGTACAACTTTAAGAGATGTCCAGATAATAAATGATTATGACTAGAATATTACCTCGAGGTCAATTTGAGAAATCAGAATAATTCACAGTTTTGATTTTTGCACATTGATAAAATGAATTTAATGAAAGGGCCGCATGTCATCTTATTGAAATATATTCATGTGTGTTTTTAATTTTCATTGATTATTTGTAGAAGTCGATTTTGCTACGTTAATCTGAGCATCTCTTGAAGGAAGGTTTCAACAACTGATTACCTTTTTATCTGTATATATTCTATGAAATCAGAGCGGAATGTTTATAATATGATCATGAGATGTATAGATTTGATTATACCCAATAATATTTATGCAGAGTAAATACTGTTTATTTAATTACTTTTGAATTTTGGTCTAAACAAGTTTATGATGTTTTTCATATCGTACATTTGTATTTCCATAACACCTCCGATGGGATAAGTTTGATCGTGATTGGCTGATTAAGGTTTTTGTGGGTATTTTGTTTTCCAGCAGGCATTTTAGAAGCTTTTTGATATATTTTATCATTGTGATTCCAAGAAAACCCGAGTCTTGAAAACCCGCAAATCGAATGTTTGTAATGTTAGATTGTACCATGGGCTTTCAATTAGAAGGGTATACAACTCCGTGTAATAACATGAGACCTTCAAAATGAGCAATGCAATGCTTCCTTTTTATGGTAATATTTTTAAAAGTATTAGATAAATGTATATGTTTTAGTATTATTTTGGATAAAAATCAATTTTCAATAATAAAATATATTCAATCTCATGTAAAACTAAACAAAAAAGACCAATAAGAATAAGAGGTATCAAGATGTTCTCTTCAAGTATTGCATTGTGGGTAATTATTCAAGAACACATTCCAATAAAAATATAATTTGTGTGAGAATGTTCACTTTCTGTATTGTCATAATTTCGATGAATTCCACTTTTTATTAAATTATCAACATGTATTTAGATAATCATGTTTTTATCTTTGAGTTATTTCTTTAAATCATCCATAAAAATGACAAAATAAGATTTTTTGGGAATGTGTACATTCTCCAATTTTGAAAACCCAAAGGCAATGCTTATGATGAAATATGGGAAGTTGCCTACCCTTCTAGTTAAAAGCCCATGATTGTACAATGTTAACTTTTCAGCGGCAATGTTCTCTTGTAGCCATTTTCAGAGTTGTTCGATTAATCTTGTCATCGCCATTTCGGGAAAGCTACTCGTTAGACTTTCCTCAACCCTGTGAAGTAATGTAGCGATACTAAACATGTATACAGTATTGCTACATATGTGGTTAAAAACGCGCGTGATTTACATGCCTTTAATTATTCGTATTGTCTCAATGGGTCAAATGGATGGCTTAATCTCACCCACCAAATATATATGCATTTTGTTTTGCAGCATGTACATATGGCTTTAAAGATTAATAATTAAAGAATTGTACATATAGCCTTTGATGTGAAAGGTACACTCTCCCCTATAAGTTTGGCAACCTTATCTCCCCCATTGAACTACGTGTTAAAGCCTCTTTACCTTTGCATTTTTATTTACTTAACCTGCGATGAAAATACTTATACTATTGATGGAAACGTAACTTTATTTTCAATACCTCCACATTTTCTCATTTTTTTTCCACAATTACAGTAGGTCGAAAATTGATTATAAATTTGATGATTTTTTAAAAATCGTCATTCCCATGTAAACCAATGGGATATGGTGGGTTCGGGGCAAATCAGAAATCAGGATATCTATTCAGTAAAAGATTTAGCAAAAAAATATTTTATATAGAAAATTGAATTGTCTGATTTTTTGTACACTAAGTGTTTAGTTAACTTGATGAATACTAAAGTTATAGAGCTTCAAAGTCATTTTTGAAAATTATATTCGCCTCCTGTGTCATTTCAATGGGAGAGGTTATTTGTAAAACAATTTTGACCTATTGTAATTGAGGAAAAAATGAGAAAATTTGGAGGTGTTGGAAATAAAGTCAAATTACGTTTCCAGTAATAGAAAAAATATTTTCATCACAGGTTAAGTAAATAAAAATAAAAAGGTAATTGAAGAGGCTTTAACACGTAGTTCAATGGGGAAGCTAAGGTTGCCAATCTTATAGAGGGGAGTGTACGTATACTTTTGTTTAGCGGAATTACAATATACTGTACACTATATAGTGAATTGGAAATTTGAATAGTCTGATTAACTGAAAGCTGTACAAACACATATATATATATTTAAGTGATGGCTCTATAATACTACATTTTTTATAATAAAATCAATGAAAATCATCAATACGTACAGTCCCATCATTGATTATGATTAATAGGCTCTTTTTCAAAATGGTCAAAATGAAATGTGATAGAGATCTCATGCTTAAAACAGATCTTTCGTTCTTGATTTTGAAACATTGCTATAATTACAATATCTACGACGAACAAAGTACTTAAGTAATAAGTTAGTAATTTCTGTTCATTAAGGTTTTCTGTCAAGGCATGTCCTCACGCCAAATCCCTCAAAATGCAAGTAGTTGTCTTCTCAATATCATATTATGTTATATATTATACAAATATTTGATTGTATTGAAATTGATATCTGTGTATCATTCACATGTGATATTCCGCGAAGCCCGAAGGGCTAGTGGAATATTATCGTGGTACAGGTATTCATCGAAAATAGAATCGAATATTGGTTTTGTTAGTCACTCTTATATTCCTCACTCACATTAATGGAATAACATACTAGTGATGTCTAATTAATGAACAATATACTACCGGGGATATAAACATTAAAATTACACTGAACTAAGTCGTGACTTGTAATTATCATACTAAGAGGGGGAGAAACCCCAGGGTTCAAAGATGACATACGCTTATAATGTAAATGTGTATTGAGATGACATAGTCGCTGATTGGTTTAGCGAGTCGATCGTTGATTGGTTTAAAACTAGGTCAATTTGAAAACTTTGGAAACCAAGATGGAGGGTACGTTTTCGACAAAAGGAGGTGCGCGAAGGAGGAAGTCATAAATTGAATAATGGGGTTTTCCCTCCTCTTTATCATACTCAACGGAAGTCCAGTGACTTCCGTTGAATATCGCTAGTTGTAATAATTGCCAAGATTTAAGCGAATAAAGTAAATAATTTATAAGTTGTTCCATAGAAGCCAGTGTAGGCCCTAAGGATCTCGAACCTGTTGGTCAAAATGACATTACCTACCTGTTGCAATGTTATTTTTCTATACCCAGTGAAAAAACAACAGGTACGTATCAAAAGTAACCGTGTCGGGATCAGTGGACCGGCCCTCGGGGCCTACATTGATATAAGCGGGTATATTATAAGATATATCATTATCCTATATGACGATACGCAAACTTGGGTTTCACTCCCAAAATGTTTTCGAAATATTTGTAAAAAGCTTATGTACAAATAAATGTAATTATCTTAATATTTAAAGCAAGCTAATTTCATGTATTCTATATATTATAAATGTATAAGAGTTGTTCACAGTTTAACAAAAATGTGAAAATAATGAACCAATCTTGTTCATAGTTGGTAGCTGCCCTGACATTATTCCTATACTTTATTCAGGTTTTATGTATTTAAGTTTACTACTATAATAATTAAATATTTTACGGTTACTATGATAACCAAGGTCCACATCCTTTTATAAAAAGAAAGCAATTGAAATATCAAAACCATATAGACCATATAAAACATGACTTACTTTGCTGCAAATCGACTCTCCAGGCAAAATGGCGATCTTTACAAATTAAGGATAATCGTCGATATGTAAGACCTTATTCGAACTGGGATTTTACAAAATGTTCTGATTTCTCAAATTCAATTTTGATTCTCTATTTATAAGTCATGTAATCTTTATTCAGAATGGGGCTTCGACCTCTCAATATTAGTATTCGATGGGGTGATTTTACAGACTTTTTAATGATGTCATCCAGGTCAGTTGACGCTTTGTTATGAATGGATTCGAAATTTACTTCAAATAAATACGTTGAACTGTGTAATATCACCGTATCACAAATAATTTTGAAAATTAAAGATGTACGATTTCAGAGATATTCATTTCCGAATGTTGACGCAGTTACTGAGCCTGGCTGATTGTGCTTGCGATGGTATTAGGGGAGTAATGATAGCACTCAACCCAAATACATCTGAACTATTAGAATGCACATGGTACGACTGTAAACTGCTCACACCCCTGTCCCATCGTACAACATTTTCG